TGACACACAGTCATTTTAACATTCTTTTCTGACACTGTACAGATGCAAGACATTTAACAAATGCCAGATAAGCCCAGAAATAGCCCAGGAAACTCAAGCAATTTCTGTTAAGAATACTTTTCTTCATTACACTCTCTAAGGTTCACTTCTTGACCGTGAAGTGTTCTCTTTATCCATTTTCTCTGAAAGCCTTTACTTTTATTTAGGTTGGCCTGAAGCCATGTTTTTTATTTTATTTTACTACTTAAGAGTGTGAAAAGGAGAAGAATGTGGCTGTCGATACCCTTGTGCCACTCATCAACTCCATACTGAGTGTAGGTGTAAGTTTGCTTAAGATGTCTTTGATGGCACTTTTGCCTTTGGCTTCCTAGTCCAGTGAGAGTGATTTTTGCATATTAAGCCAGAGCAGCTAATACCTTTAAAAAAAAGCCGTGAGAGATTCTCCAGCTAGTCTGACTGCTAGCCCTATTCTACCACAAAGTCCTACCACTCTCTCATGCAAAAACCCCATAGGTTTAGCTGGGATCCTAGGTCTGTAGGTTCAGTCTCTTGTTTTCAATAAGTTTCACAGTCTTTGAACAGAGTCTGCCTAGCTGCTACTTTTGGTGCTGCTGATGGAGGGGTATAGATTGACAGAAGGAACTGGGAAATCTGGGGTGTGGTGGGGAATACAGGAGGTGGAGAAGGGAAGTACTTCATCCATAAATCCATTGCAAAACTTGATTTTCCATGGAAGAGTTATTCCTGGTGGATTTGCAACACCCTAGTTCTCCTTGCTGTGTTATAGGTAGTTGGTGTGCAAATTACACAATTATTTATTGTTACTGTTCTATATTGTTGTATCACAGTTGAAACTGGACACAGTGATGCCCCGCAAGCCGATGTTAATTCGTTCAGTGAAAATAGCTGTCTTTTGAAAACATAGTCTTGCGAAATGCAGTTCCCCATTGGAATGCGTTGAAACCCATTTAATGCGTTCCAATGGAGAAAAATTGTCGTCGTTTTGCGAAAATCGCCCATAGAGAAACTGTTTTGCAAAGCGCGGATCAGCTGTAAAAATCGCTGTCTTGCGAAAAACAGTCCCGAAAACACCCATTTTGCGAGTCTTGGACTCAGCTGTCAAAATTGTCATCTTGTGAAAATTGGTCCTGAAAAAAAAAACCATCTTGCAAAGCATGGTCCAAATCATCGTCCACCGATAATCACCCATAGGAAACACTGTTTTGTGAAGTGCTATAGCAATCGCAAAAACTCATCGTCTGGCGAATTAACCGTTTTGTGAGGTAATCATCTAGCGGGGCACCACTGTATTGGGAAGTATCAGAGTTATGTTTTGCTGTTGCTCAATCTACAAAGATAGAACAATACAAGCAAAGGCAACAAAAGAAGACATGCAAGCAAACTGCTGATTTTTTGCTAAAAATTCAAATATAGTAACAGGTGCCTTTTTCATTGCGATTATTCAAGATAGGTCTGCACAGAGATAGGTCTGCACAGAGTTTGTTTTACAGTGTCTTATGTTAATGCAGTCATTATGATCCGTACTTACAATCTGCTATCACAGGGTTATAGCAATTGCTAAGCTAGTGGGGAATTTGCAAGCGTCAATGTAGTTATGCTGTTGGTTGCACATCAGAACAAAAGGTACAACTAGTGTTCAAGCAAACTAGGTGTGGATAGCATTATCATGAGTTGTGCCTCACCTTGTGGAAACAGTTGTGTAGTGTCTTGTGGAGAAAGTTGTCTGGCACTTTGCATCACAACTTGCAGGTGTAGAATCCAAGTTTTATATTGGCATTTGTGCAAATTTACAAATGGGCTTTCTGTGAGCAGTAGAAGTCTTGTACTAGCAAGCATTGCCAATGGGCAGTGATCAAAGGATGTTGATGGTAGGTTGAAAGTGGAAGAAAAAGAGGAGCATCCAACAAAGCAAAGCAAAGCATGCTGCTTATAATGTTTAAAGCATTCTCTTGGGCTGGGCAGTTTACAATTTAGTTATGCAGGCTACACATTGTCCTCCAAGCAAGCTGGATATTGAATTTCCCTTTTGGAAGGATGGAAAGCTGAGTGAACCTTAAGCTGGCTACCTAGGATTGAACCCAGGTCATGAGCAGAATTTTGACTGCAGTATTGCAGTTTAACTATTGCACCGCGAAGTTCCATAAGGAATTTTGCAGATCTCGTGAAGGCTTTCATGGCCAGGATCTAATGGTTGTTGTGGGTTTTTTGGGCTCCTTGGCTGTGTTCTGAAGGTTGTTCTTCCTAACGTTTCACCAGTCTCTGTGGCTGGCATCTTCAGAGCACAAAGTGCTGTCCTCTGAAGATGCCGACCACAGAGACTGGCGAAACGTTAGGAAGAACAACCTTCAGAACACGGCCAAAGAGCCCAAAAAACCCACAACAACCATTTGCAGATCCCCCTTATAAATTATGTTTTTTGTTTCAAAAGGACTGGAGGACAAATCCAGCCAATTACTACTAAATGATGTCTGCCAGGGCAAATGTTCTAATAGTGCCTTCAACCAAAGAAGCATGGCTGTGGCTATCTTTCTATATGCACACAGCCAGAAGCCTTTTTTTCTCTTTCTTTTTCAAAGCAAGGCGTTTTTCTGCTGAAAGTTTATATCCAAGTTGTTGTACAGCCAGGAACAGAAGAATTGTATTTTATCAGAATTTGTGAGGAATTTCTTGGTAACAGGCCATAAGGGTTTTCTGACAAACTCCCCCACTCAGAATGGAGCCAGATAAAGATATTTTGCTACTTGACCTGAAGGATGAGAAAGATAACCCACTCCCCCCCCCCGTTCCATGAAAGGAAGCAATTTAGACTGGTAGTTGAATCTTACTCCAGTACTGGCAACCAGACAGTATCCATCTCTTCTCCTGAGTCTAGGCTGTGTAGTTGTCCCCACTCTGTTCTCTTATACCCCACTTCCATCCCGTCCTCCGAGCATCCACCAATTGGATTGTAGGTTGTAAATAGATGGTCTCCCTTCTGCTCAGTAAAAGGTGAAGAGTGGGGAATGAGAGGAGGCCATGCTTTGACCTTCTTTATTCATAATGCATAGTCATAAAGTGCATACAAAATCCAAGTGGATCAGAATCTACTGGCAGTTGGGTGTAAAAGAATGGCTGATAAATAATGGAAGGCAGTGATTCTGCCTTTTCTAAATGGATCTGAAGTAAATAAGTGGCAAAGATAAAGCATTCATCTGCAAAGTCACAAACCAAATTAGAGTGCATTTTAAATTAGATCATTATGCAGCTTGGGAAAGAGCTGTAATAAAGAGCTATTGTGGAAGAAATTGTTGTAGCTATCAGTATGTTGTCTGGCTGCAGTGCAAAAGGTTAGCAAAATGCTGATACACAGAGTGGGGTTGTTGAAAACACAGAGTACAAACGATTCCAAAACTCATAGTAGTTTTTGTACTTATCCTTGTGCTTTAGATTTCCCACTAGTATTAACTGGTTAAGCGTATTCTAGTAATAAAGCAGGCTTATGTTAAGATAAGTTTGAAGTATCTAAGCTTGTTGTAAGCAACTTTAATTTAAAAGACACAAAAGTAAACTGCCACTTTGGTTGATAGTTTGAGCCTCACTTTTAGTCTTTTAAATTTGTTTGAAGATAGCAACAGTGTGAACAGTTTTGTTCTTTGGATTGAATCCGGTTTGGTCCTCTTTGAAAGAACGTGGCAAAGTTTTTTTCACTCCTGGTTAAAGTGTTGACAAGTCAAGATCAGATGCTACAGTAAACTAAGATGCGGCAGCGACAGATTGATCTTGTTGACCCAGTGATCCTGAGCAATGCTAATTGGACTTTTAGTAGCCTTTGGAAATGCAACCAAATTAATAGAGTCTGTTGAAGAGCCAGAGGCTTCTCATGCCAGCTTCAAGATATTTTGCCATTGGCTGAAATGCCATTTCCTTCTTCAGCATTACAAGCAAATTAAGCAGAAATTTCATTTCAGCATGAAGATATTCCTTAGCTCATCTAGCAAAGATGGAAACCTTTCCAATTGATTAAAAGTTGGTGACAAGAATGGCCAGAATTATGTTAGTTATAACTCAAAGAAATAATCTCTGATACATAATTATGCCTACTCTATAGGCATAAATCTCAGCTGTGATTTGACATAAGAAGTTGTTGCAGGCATTTGCTGTCACCCACCAGTTGCATAACTTAGCATGTAACAGCAAATGCTTATGCTGACTTCTTAAGTTGCAGCATTTCACAGGTGAAATTTGTGCCGATGCAGTTAATGCCAGCATATTTTAGTACCATTCCAGCCAATCAGTTGCAGAAATATAACTGTCACCATTTCAAAGAAATATAAATGTCTCAATTGTAGAAATACGTATAACTGTCAAGAGAACAGCTTTTTGTGTCCATTAAGTCAATTGAGTTATTTGCAGTAAAACAAAGCAAGAATTTTCTAGCATCTTATTGACCATGTCCATCCAGGAAAAAAAAGTAAAGTAGTACTACTACTACCCTTGCATTGGTAAGCTGATTAACACATGCATTTTAAGGGCATTTTATGTGGCTATGTTTTCATGGATGATAGTAAATTTAACCCAGTCAAAACTGCCTAGTTTTTAGAAAAGAAGTCTTTGCTTTTGCCATCCATACCAAGTCTTTAATTCCCATTTAATTGTTTATTTATAGCTCAGCTACTTTGTGTGTAGAAATCATGAGTTCCTCAAAATGTGGAAAATAACTTTCACACAATAATCACATGGTTCGAAAATATCTCAAACTCCATAGACAATGAAAAACAATTCCTGCATTACTTTCTAGATATACCGTCTCATGACTGATGGTTCTCAAGAGTATTCTCTTGCAGCACGATCCTATGCAGATTTCCTCAAAAATAAGTCCCACTGGACTGCATAGGCTATGCATTTAGGTAAATGTGGACAGATCTGTAGCCTCAGTTAGGTTGTAAGTTCTGTATTAATGTAATTCTCATTGTTCTTCTTTTGCTATGTTTTGATTTTAGGTTATGTTGAACAGCCTTGTGTGGTGCCTTGTCCATTTGATTGCAAATTAAGTGACTGGTCTGGTTGGTCTCCATGCAGTTCATCTTGTGGAACAGGAGTAAAAATTCGGTCCAGGTGGCTTAAAGAGAAACCTTACAATGGAGGACGCCCCTGTCCCAAACTTGATCCAAAGAATCAGGTGAGGTGTAGCAAGATATAACCTTCCCCTTGCTTGTGTGCATCCCTCGAAATGTGTATTTCTGTGCACACACATATTGTAATAACATTACTATTTCTTTCTTAAATTTTCTTCCATATTCTTGGGAATATATTAGAGTTCAAAGGAAATTATGAGTTAATAAATATATCAGATTTTGTTTGTAGGCCACAAATCACTTATCACAATCAATGAAATCAGTGAGACTGTTCTGGAGTGAGTGGGATTTCAAGCAGTTTATGAAGATTGATTTTTTTTTTTTGAAACAGGTGCCTGTGGTTCTTCTCCTCCCTACTCAATTTTACTCAGTTCTAATAAGTTTGTATCTGACAATTACAAGGTAATTTTCAAGTGTTTATTCAGTTAGGGAAAGAAACTGATGCACATGGGAATATTCAGATGGAAATTTAGAAGTAAAATGTTTTTCTATTAATGAAAAACTGTAGACATATATTATCCTTTCTACAACATGCATTAATCCTTTAGACGGGAGAATATATGGGTTCGTGCAATTTAAAAATTGTAATACTTTAAAGTCTACTGAAACAAAAATTAACAGTGTTTTCCTTTCTTCAGCTGCCTACTTCTAAAAAATTGTAAATCTTTGTTATATAATCCTTCTGTTTCCATCAAAGACATAATTTTACCTGGAAAGTCCTTCGCTCATTTTTGGCTATAGCTTATAGGCAGTCTTCAGTTCAGATAGCAAAAATTCAGAATATCCACCAACAGCCTATAGTTTGAAGGAGGGAATTGTCTCACCCTATCGTTACAAGAGCAGACACCTCCCCAACCATGACCCACCTCTTGACAATGCTGGCTGCAGCTACCACCAGTGGTTCCTCTCCTTCACCAAGTCTACCTTCTCAGATGCATTGTTACCAGTTACTACAAATCCTGATTCTTCTGTTCCCCATCATTCCTTCTGTCTGCTTGCCAACCCAATGTGACAAACCCAGACCTACTGGGATATGTCCCACAGTTACTAAGCTGCCACCAACCATTCCCTGTAAGAAGTCACACAGACCAGGGATGGATTTTTAAACATAAAAAGCAGACACCTCCCCAACCATGACCCACCTCTTGACAATGCTGGCTGCAGCTACCACCAGTGGTTCCTCTCCTTCACCAAGTCTACCTTCTCAGATGCATTGTTACCAGTTACTACGAATCCTGATTCTTCTGTTCCCCATCATTCCTTCTGTCTGCTTGCCAGCCAGGCAGATAGCCAGTGAATCAGCACTTCATGGCATGTACTCTTCCTCCTTCATACTATAAACATTGCATGGGTGATGCTTGCAATGGGGAAGAAGAGGGACAAGTCCAAGTTGGGGGGGGGGTGTCTCAGAGGATCCTCACTGATCCTCACAAGTGCCGTACTATGTTGACACTTGATACTGACCCTGCCTGTACAATCAGAAAAAAAATAGTCTACAATGTTGCTTCTACCTCTGACCATGTGGAACTGTTCCAGCTTAACGTGGACTAGAGCCCATTCCATTGCTGTGACGAGGGCCAAGAAATCAAGCGTCTCCATCTACATTGCGTCTGCCCAAAGTCAACTGGCAGAGCTCTTTGGAGGGACATATGGTGGCCCTGCTGGTCTACTGATAATTGATACATCTTATTTTGTGAAGTCTGAGAATGTAGACAGGATCCTTAGAGAGATGAACGCTTCCATGCTTGTGCTGGATCCTTGCCCTTCCCCTTTCTAGGTCCTAAAAGTAGCCTGACCCAAAGAGTCAGGGAAGTGGTAAGTGCCTCTTTGTAGCAAGGTAGCGTTTCAGTTTGCTTTAAACCAGGCTTTGGTAAGACTTCTGCTCAAAATGATTCCCCTACATTCCAGTCCACTGGATAATTACTAGCTGGTTGATACTGGAACATGTGGTGACCACAAAATATTCTGTTTGGGGCAAGATACTGGAGCATGCCATGAGTTCCTGGATGAGACACGTGATCTAGATCCATTTCAGTCTGGCTTCACCCCTCGTTATAGCAGGGAGTTGGTTTGGTTCCCTGCATGGATGAGCTATGTTGGGAGCTGGTCAGAGAGAGTGTGCCCCTGTTAGTTTTGTTAGACCTCTCAGCAACATTTGACAAAATTGATCATGCTACAGTGGTGCCTCAACTTCCGAACTTAATTGGTTCCAGAACTTCGCTCATAACTCGAAATGGCTGTAAGTCAAAGCACTATTTCTCATAGTAATGCATTAAAATACAATTAATCCGTTCCAGCCGAAGAAAAAAGTCACACACAGCCCCCCCCCCAAAAAAAAACATTGCAAGACCCAACGGAAGGGGAAAAAAGAAAAGCAAACAAACTCTGCAAGACCCATCGGAAATGCAAAAAAACCAAAGCAGAAAGAAAACAAACCATGCTAGAGCTATCAGAAATGCAAAAAAAGAACAAAAAGCAAACAAACCATGCAAGACCCTTTGGAAATGCAAAAAACTAACAAACAAACAAAAACAAAGCAGAAAGCAAACAAACCATGCAGGACCCATCGGGGGCTGCCTTTGAAGACTGTCCAGCAACTGCGACTGGTCCAGAATCGAGTTGCACAGCTGGTGAGCGGTTGGGCCACTAGGGGACATATCAAGCCACTTCTGATTAAATTACATTGGTTACCATTTGCTGCTTGGCCCGAATTCAGAGTGCTTGTTTTGACATATAAAGCCCTAAACAGCTTGGGCCCTGGATACCTGAAGGACCACCTCCTTCCATATGAGCCTACCCAGCAGTTAAGATCTAGCCAGGGGACCCTTGTGAAAGAGCCATCCCTCCAGGAATCAAGAGGGATGGCTTGTAGACAAAGGGTCTTTTTGGCAGCTGCCCCCAGACTATGAAATGCCATCCCAACTGAGATTTGTCTGGCGAAGACGCTGATGACATTTCGGTGCCAGGTCAAAACCTTCCTGTTCCAGAAGACTTTTAATTGAAATAATATCAACTGTGGGTCCTGGTGGCAATTTTTAGAGTATCTATTTTATTTGTATTTTAATTGTTTTATCTTTTTATTGTATTTTTATTGTATTTTAATGGTTGTAAGCCTTCCAGAGACCTTTGGGTAGAGTGGGCGGCATATAAGTTAAATAAATAAATAAATAAATAAATAAATAAATAAATACATAAATAAATAAATAAGAAAGACCCATTGGAAATGGGAAAAAACAACAACCAAAAAACAAATAAATGCTGCAAGACCCATCACAGCATAGAAACATAATCCCACCACCCAGCTCAAAACCACGCTGCCACCCCCACCCAGAACAGTTTTTAAAAAGCAGAAAGCATCACCTTACCTTACCAGGCAGTCCGAAGCCTCCTCCGATCGCACTCTAACTGCTGGGGTGAAAGAGCTACAAAGAAGCAGCCTCTTCGCCACCAACGGTTAGTAATTTGAATTCCCCGTGAAGCAAAATTTTGGTTTTCTGCCGTAACTGGAAGCTCTGGCCACAAGTTGAAGCAAAATTTTGTGGCTGGAGCTGTTCATAACTCAAAATGGTTGTATGTCAGGACGTTCATAAGTTGAGGCACCACTGTATATCCTTCTGTGTCACCTTCCTGGAATGGTATTGTGCCCTCCATACTCTCTGAAAGAATCATCTCAGGAAAGGGTACCATAGAATTCTCTTCTATCTCTCATGCTACCTAATTTATACAGTATATCACAGAAGTGAGTACACCCCCTCACATTTCATAAATATTTTAGTATTTTGACATGACAACACTGAAGAAATGACACTTGGCTACAATGTAAAGCAGTGGGTATACAGCTTGTATAACAGTGTAAATGTGCTGTCATCTCAAAATAATGCAACACACAGCCATTCATGTCTAAACTGCTTTAGTACTTCAGTTTATGAATTTAATGCGTTCTCCAGGACATTATGTAATGCGAAAAAATTGTCAACCAAAACGCGGTTTGCCATAGGAATGGGGGCAACACTATAAACCTCCAGGCACAATGCATCCTGGGGAAACGTCCTTTGTACTGCAGAAAATATTGTAAACCAAGGCATTATTTTAAATGGATTTCCATTCATAAATCGAAAATTACATTAACCGAGGCATTCGTAAACTGAGATACTATTGTACATCCCTAAGTGACAATGTTCAAATTCGTCCCAAGTAACTGTTTTCCCTCTCTGGTGTCATGAGACCCGTTAGTGTCACAAGTCTCAGGTGTGAAGGGGGAGCAAGTGTTATCACTCTCACTCTCTCAGACTGGTCACTGGAAGTCCCACAAGGCACCTCATGGTCATGAACTATCTGAGGATCTGAAAAAAACAATTGTTGTTCTACATAAAGATGGTCTAGGCTATAAAAAGTGTCAGAGTCCAGCTCTAACATCAGTAAACAGGAGAGTACTCTGAAGAAAGACAATGGAGACTGCAGTCAGGGATTCAACAACGAAGCATGCTCGGTCGTGCCTGTAGGAAAAGCAAAACTCTCTTTGGCCACGCCCGGCACCTCCTTTTATTCAAAACTCAGGTTACACAGGAATATTACAACCAATGAGGCATCAAATATGTTCTGCCTAGCAACGACTGACACATACATGAATTAACTATATTAAAGAGCTAGGCATTCGGCTGATGTATTCTGCCTACGTGACCTCCTTGCTCAGCTTTAATGGTCAGCAGACTCCCACAAAAAAGATTGCCAAAACCCTGAAACTGAGCTGCAGCACGGTGGCCAAAACCATACAGCGGTTTAACACAACAGGTTCCAACTCAGAACAGGCCTCGCCATGCTCAGCATCATATCCAGAAGTTGACTTTGTGAAATAGATGTATGAGTGCTGCCAGCATTGCTGCAGTGGTTGAAGGGGTGGGGTGGGGTCAACCTGTCACACTGCATCAAATTAGTCTCCAGGGCTGTCGTCCCAGAAGGAAGCCTCTTCTAAAGATGATGCACAAGAAAGCCCACATACAGTTTGCTGCAGACAAGCAGACTAAGGATATGGATTTCTGGTACC